ACACAGTAGTGAAGCTTAACATACAGTTTTGGGAGAGCATAAACTTTAACATAAGAAAATACCATTAGAGATGAAATGTCCCAGAGAAAACATAGGATATCTAGATTATCTAGATACATGGGATGTACAATGCATTGAACAACCAAAGATATCTTAAACAATAGCCAAGCCATGTCTGTGTACGTAAAGCCAATCAAAAGCTAAATAAGTATTCAACAAGTAATGTTTACAACATGAGCGGCCGTGTTGTATGGGAAATTACAATCTCGAGCYGCAGGCGAGAKATTGTAATTCCCATACAACACGGACGCGAATGTTGTAAACGACTTATAAAACTCCAACACAAATTAACATGAATTACAGTGAGATAAATGACAAAAAATGGCAATTAAGGAAACTGCTGAGTTGAGTCGCTATTAAGCATGCGCAATTTACTGCAACACAGAACATTTTGAATAATTATCCATCCCACATGGAAAGCAAGCCATCTGTTGCATAAGCCAGTTCTGTTATCCGTCTTTGATTGCTTCAAAACCTAGTGAAGGTCTATGATGCGACACTAAAACTGAGACCTTTGCTAGTGTTGGGTTGTCTCAAGGTGACGACCGTGTTGTAAATCTTATACAACACTAGTGTTGTATCACAGTGTTGTATCTGATTTACAAGTTCAATCACCTGATGAAATGGACAACCCTTATTGGAGTAATAGCTCATGCATTATTAATAAGTTTTATAATAGACCTTATCAGCTAACACGTTGCTATGTATTTTACCACCCAATTCAAATCCTGTGAGAAAAAGAACTTTTGTCTCTAAGACTTCAACTGTGAAACGGAAATACAAGCACCAATGAAACTTACTCCCAGGTGGTTTGAATTGGGTGGAAATGTTTATAGCAATGCATTAGCCCATTACATGTAGGTCTATGTGGAGTGGCCTCACGAACGGAGGATTTCATTAATTTTGGAAGGTGTCTGTTCATAAAGTAACAATATGTGAATCGTAAGGTTCCACAACTGTTAAAATCATAAATTGGTCAAAATAAATGCCAGATCTTGCAGGTTGCCATCGTCTAATGAAATACCTGATGTACTCTGACCTTTGCATGTTTACATTCAATCTTTTTTTTTTTT